ATGTGTTGGATTTCAAAGAATTTTTTTTTTTTTTTATGTTTGTTCTTAATGCATTAAAGTGTTATTGTGAGGGTAAGATTTGGGGTCAAGAGAAGTTAATAAATGTTAAGATTTTTTTTTTTTAAATCAAAAAATTAAGAAATTTAGATTGGGAGATTGGAGCTCTCACAAAGTTTGGAGTTAAAAACTCCCTTTTGCTTAATATATAGTATAGATAGATAGATAGATAGATTTGCATAATATTTTTTTTATATAGATAACACAAATTAATTATATATATAATTATTAATTTATAATAAATTTTACATTTTACATTTATCTCATATTTATTTTACTTTAATATTTTATTAGAGGTTAAAAATAATATATGTATTAATTATAGAAAATAAAGTTGTTTCAAAAGCGGCTTAGGAATTTTAAAATTTAATTTGCCGTTAGCAGATAAAACGTTGCGAATTGATGCGAATCAATGTAATTTTAGTAGATTGAGCGGTATTTTATACCGTCCTACCCACAACTATCAATAAATATCACATTACCTTCCTTGTATATAAAATAAAATTATACATATTAACTCTTTAATTATGAAAATTGTATAAATGCATCTACTTTAAAGAATAAATATTGGATCCACATGGTGATATGACAATCCAATAAACAGTCTTGATTTTTAGTAGGACCATAACAATATTGAGTTAGTGAGAAACGAGATTTATTAATTTAGTTCTTTTGTGATTTTTTATTGATCGATGACACTACGTAAAATGGTATCACTGTCATACTCAATGCTTTTTTTCTTCTTTATTTTAGAGTTTGTTTGGAGAAATCAAAATATATGAGCTTGTAAATAAAGAAAATTAAGTGATGTTATGAGAGAGTTTGGTGTAATTAAGCTTTAATTAATAGGTGTGCACATCACATTGCATGCATTTGAAATATGCAATAATTATATATAAGCAATTATAAATTAGCTATATATATAATAAAAGAAAAAGAATAGTATAGATATATGAAGAAATGGGTCCAGTTTGTCTCATGTGTGAGATTAAGATTGGACCGTCCAGTTCGGTCCATGGGTCAATTTTGGAGACCCGTTTCGATAATCTAAATTGTTTAATTTGTAGAACTCGTCAATACTGTATTCCTGTGAAAAATCACGTTGATTGGATATCGATAGCTATTTGATCGGATCAGATTTTTGTCAATCATTTATTTTTTATAGTCCATTTTTTTATATAAATCTAATCCAATCAAATAGCTATCAATATCCGATCGAAGTGAATTTTTTTATAAAAATATATTACTCGATGAATTCTACACATTGAACGGTTCGGATTATCGAAACGGGGCCTAAATAGGCCCATGGGTCGGATTGAATGGTCTAATTTTAATCTCAAACATGAGACAAGTTAGACTTTTAAGAAATAATGAATGATAATTTAAGAATACAATAATTTATCTGACGTTGAGGAGAGTAAGGTCCAAGACACCAATAAAGTTTTTCCTTTACATATACTATAGATTATAGGGTTAATTATGCAAAAAAATTCAGAGTTCCGCATTATTTTTATTTTTATTTTTTTGCAATTTAAACCTTAAGTTTTTAATTTTAATAAATTAAACTCTGTCCTTTTACTTGTGTATCAATCTATCCCTTCCCGACCATCTCCATTTGTCTTAGAAGATGATTTTAGGCGTCAAAATGCTGCAATAAAGCCACAATCTTCACAATTAAGACAAATATACCCCTCCACTGTGATTAGGGCAACGAAAGTCACCCACCTGGTGTGATTCATCTAAGGTGATTCAACCAGCGATTGAACCCACACAACAAAGGAAGGAATGAGCTATTTCGGTGCACATTTGTTACAATTCTATCAAAGAATGTGAGAGGGGATATAGATAAACAAAAAGAGAAAGATAAAAATAAGTGAAGGTAATAGCTAGGATGGGAACACTTGGGGTGAGTTGACTAGTTACAGTTGTGGGTTAAGAGCAAAGATCAGAACTTCATGGACTCGTGTTCATCGTGCTAGGAGGTTTTTGGGTTATCATAATTATGGAGTAAGTTTACAAGCTTTTTACATTTTTGATAATGTATTGTGAATATGTGATGGGTAAAGTTGTTTGTTTATATTTATTTGCATTTACATTTCTTTTCCTGGTACGATCTATCTACATGTGCTCGTGGTAGACAAGTTTTATCGAAGTTGGTGGATAAGGTTGCAGCCTTAGAAGAATTTGTGAATGATGTTGCACAATTGAAGAATGTTGCTCAACGTTATCGTGCACAACAGAAGTGGCTTTGTCATTGCTTTGATTGGTACATGGCTTTTCATAATAGTTCCTTCCTTCCTTCGCTACGTGTGTTCAATCACTAGTTGAATCACATTAGATGAATCGCACTAGGTAGGTGACTCTCCTTGCCCTAATTGTAGTGGAAGGGGTCTATCTTGCCCTAATTGTGAAGATTGGGATTTTATTGCAACATTTTGGCACCCAAAACCATCTTTTGTTAACTAAGACAAACGGAGATGGACTGGGGTAGGGCAGATTGAAACACAAGTGGAAGGATAAGATTTAATTTGTCGAAATTGAAAACTCGGAGTTTAAATTAAAAAAGGTGTGAAACCTGAGGGTTTTTTGTGTAATTAACCCTAGATTATATATACCATATATAAAGTGAATATCCATGTTGGTACAATGACCTTTGGCTTCTCCATGTGCCAAGTGGACTTATCAATTTCTAAAATAATAAATTTATACTATTGGTAAATTAAACAACTCACTTAATAGTGTCACGAAGCCTACTCTGTCCTTTTGTTAAATGAATTTTTTTTATCCAAAAGAAAATTTATATAATAAAATAAATATGACTTGAACTTAAAATCTTAGGTGTAAAAAATAACAATTTTACCACTTGAGTAATACATACTATATATATTTTTAATTTAAAATTAAAATTTATATTTTACAAATTCAACAACACAACGGGCACACACATATCCTCTGGTAATATAGAAAGTGGTCAGGTTAGGTTTCGCAGATGGCTTTTGATGCCAATAAAATTTAATATTTGCCATTTGACAATTAAAAGGTGTCCCTAAAGAACCACGAACACCCAACACTATTTTATGGAGTCCACTTGAAAAGCATTTAAAATTATATTTATTTTTTAATTTTATAAATAAAATAAAATATAATTATGTGATTATTAATATCCATTTAATTTAATTTTTTATATGAATTGTCTTTTTAATTAATCTTAAAAAATGAACGATTTAAATATAAAAATCGCTCTTAAAACAAGCTTAATGCATCCAACTATACTTCTCTAATTGGATCTCTAGCGAGAGAGAAACAATCTTTAGAAAATAATATTTAGAATATCAAGAAAAGCAAAGGACATTTAAATGTATCAATATGATGTTATTAAGTTTTAATTATTAATTTATTAAGTTCAACAACCCTTTTGGATTTGTGTTAGGTTAGAAGCCAAGTAGGAGATGCTTTTGTTAGGTAGGAACCAGATTGATAATAGAAAAGATTTCACATGATTTGGGAAATTTATAATATAATACTACAATAATTGATTGGGAAAAATCAAGTGGTCTTTTTTTAAAAAAAATAAAAATAAATTAAAAATCAATTTCTGTTCACACTTTTTTGAGATGAAGAAATAAGTGCCAGCTAACTTGTTTGAAAATAGACTAGTTTCTTTCTTTATTTATTTATCAAATTCAAGTTGTTTTAAAACTAAAATTCTCCAATTCAAACATGTTTAAACTTATTTCTTACAATTAAATTGTTTCAAAGCTCTACAAATATTTTCAAAATACTAATTCCTTAAATTAGTTGAAACACAACTCCATTTTTGAAAATATGACTTCTATTTTTTTTTTTTTTGAGACATACATCATTTTTTAAAATACTTCAACCTTAAAGTCGTGTTTTAAAACTGTTTGAATATTTTGTTTTAAAACTTGTATTTGGTTTCTCAAAAAACAAAAAAAAACTTGTATTTGGTTTTAAAAAACTCCAAACATACACCTTTCAAGTTTCAACACTACAACAATATAAAAAAAGAATATGCTGAATTCTCAATAATTATTCTTGACAAAAATGGGTCCCACTATCACTCCCCATACTATGAGTTGGTTTGGGATGTCCTAAAAAAGTGCACTTTTTGACTTATTGGTGGGTTTGGATTGGGTTTGGGTTGGGTTTGATGTGATGTGTTAGAGAGGTGATGTGATTTAAATAAGATGATGTGACTTAAATAAGATAGTGACTTTTTGACTTTTTAGCTTATTTAGTACATGCCAAACTAGCCCTATAATCTGAAACTTCAACTACCAAAAAGCATCCAAGTTGGAGAAATAAGGAAGATTTCCAACCAAACCTCACGACCTCATACCTTCAACAAACAAACATAGAAAGGAGTAGAAGACAATGTGGATAGGTAGAGGCTGAGAACCAGAGCTTCAACAACCACATACTCAACAAATGGATCAATCATAGTATATCATGAAAATTTAAAGTTAAAATATATCATATCAATTGTAATATATGATGATGTAAAATTTAAAGTAATCATAAAAAGAATGATTGCGATCTATAGGTTTACTTTTCTAGATAATTATGTAATATTATTGTGATACACTATTCTCTTGTGAGCGCCCCCACTCATAATTCAAAGATTTTTCTCACTTGAGAGCATGGCCTCACAACATTGCTTGAAAAGATTAGATTGAGATTAGAATGGTCTATCCTTCATGAATGGCTTGAATCCACCACCCAGTCCATTTCAGTCAAAATGAACACAAAACCCTTCACTTTCACACCCACACAAACCACCATCGAGGAGCCAATTCCTCAAAAATTGCAAGTCCATTCCTTTAGGATAACAAATAGAATTTGAAGGAGTCATATAACTATCCAAGCATTCACAGTCAGACATCAAAGTAGTGCCCATCTTTGAAAGATAGCCGAAGCAAAAATAGCAAAAACCCACTTTCATACTCATCCCATAATTATAAAATGGCTCATTAAAAATCAATCGTGTAATGTTACAAAACTCAAGACATGTCCAATCCAAGAGTTGGCACAAGATTACAATCATAATTTCCATCTCTTTTTGATCTTGTTTCAGTTTGCAGCCATGGCTGTTCTACTGAAGAAGAAGATGAAATGAACAAAAGAGAAACTTTTACCTCCTTTTTATTATGAAAATGTTATGAACCCAGATCTCTCAAAGATGGCCTCTTCACTGTAGTGTGTGTCCAAATCCTGAACCCAAATGGAAGAAATTCAGATTTGAAGAACTTGTGAATGAAACCTAGCACAATGACTTAGCTGCTGCAATAACAGCCTCTGCTGTTATCCCAAACTCCTTGTATATTTTTCCAGCCGGAGCGCTCGCCCCAAACCGGTCAATCCCTATAGCCTTCCCTTTGCTTCCAATGTGCTTTGTCCACCCAAATGTCGATCCGGCTTCAATGCTAACCCTAGCTGTTACAGCTGCTGGGAGGACACTATCCTTATAAGCATCCGATTGTTCATCGAAAAGTTCCCAGGAAACAAACGACACAACTCTCACGGCCTTTCCTTCCTTTCTGAGTTCATCGGCCGCCTTGGAAGCGATTTCCAATTCAGAACCGGTACCCATCAGGATTACATCTGGCTTGTTATCCGAAGAATTGTCTGATACAGTATATCCACCCTTTTCCACTCCCTCAACAGAAGTTCCGGGGAGATGGGAAAGCTTCTGTCGAGAGAGGGCAAGGATCGATGGTCTCTTCCTGTTAAGGACTGCAACCTTGTATGCACCGGCTGTCTCGTTACCATCGGCCGGACGTAGCATCAAAACATTGGGCATTGCTCGGAAACTTGCCAAATGCTCGACAGGCTGATGTGTCGGACCATCCTCTCCTAGTCCAATTGAGTCATGAGTCATGACGTAGATAACTCCAGCTTCAGATAAAGCGGAAATCCTAATAGCCGCTCTCATGTAGTCAGTGAAAACAAAGAAAGTGGCACAGTACGGAATGAGGCCTGGGGTGTGGTGGTCAATCCCGTTGCAGATGGCTCCCATCCCATGCTCACGAACGCCGAACCTGAGATTGCGTTCTTCTGGTGTGTTCTTTTGGAAGTCGCCGAACATTTTCAACAAGGTCATGTTGGAGGAAGCAAGATCGGCACTGCCCCCAAGAAATCCGGGGAGAACCTTTGCAAGGGCATTGAGGCATTGTTGAGAAAGATTTCTGGTGGCATCAGCTGGGCTCTCAGGAGTGTATGTCTGAGAGAATTCAAATATAAATGGTCTTAAAACATAATATAATATGTATATATAATTCTTCATGTAATGCCAAAATATTTTATGAAAACGACACAGTCTCATGCATTAGGCAAACAAAACTCAATTGTAGTGAATCGCAAGTGAACCGCAATATTCACTCAATTTAGAATTCAACTGCATAATTTGATTCGTTTTGCTTGAAACTAGAATCAAATCGTAAGAATCAAATTGAAAATCGTTAGATTCTAATAACCATGGCTAAAACTATTAATGCACTACTCACCGGGAGAGCTTTCTCCCAACCAGCTGGCAATTCGCCGCTGATGATAGACTTCAACTCTGCAGCTTCCTCCTTGTATTTCTTTTCATATTCAGCAAATTTGGCGTTCCACTCAGCTTCAAGAGCAGCACCCTCAGGGACATGGCGGCTCCAATGCCTATGCAAGAAAAAGCAAGTATATTCATAAAAAAAAAAATCATCTAAACATTCAAATCAATCCTAGAAGCAAAACAAAAACTTCACTTACTTCTTCACATCCTCAGGCACATGGAAAGGCTCGTATGGCCATCCGAGGTTCTTCCTCGTGGCATCAACTTCCTTGGCACCCAGTGCGCTCCCATGTACACTGTATGAATTTGCCTTGTTAGGAGAGCCAAAACCAATAGTAGTGGTTACCTGCGTAGAAGACAAAAGACAGTTTGAGAATGGACCAAAACCAAAAAAAATAAGAATGTTACAAGAAGCAACTTCATCTAAGAACAGCCTTCAATGTATTGTTAGAATGATTCCAAAAAAACATCATCCACAAAACTGAAGTAATGGTAAAATATCTATATATTTAAGCAGCCACTTTCTATTTCAACTTACTACTGTACAATGATGTTTCTTTATCTTCATCCAAGAAGCAATACAAATTATACATCCACAAAGTTGCTTTAACTCATGGAAAACAAGTAAAACTTCAATACCGAAACCAACTTCAAAAAGTTTGTTGTGATGGATTATCTCTACAGACATCACTCGTTGACTTTACTACCCTAAGCAACACAGAAATTAATGTATATAGCTAAGATCTGACCTTGATCAAAGTAGGTTTGTCTGTGACAGTCTTTGCTTCCTTGATAGCAGCACGAATCTCGTCGTAACCTGTGTTCCCATTCTTCACCCAGATGACATGCCACCCAAGACCCTCAAAACGAGTGTCGACGCACTCAGTAAAAGCAATCTCTGTGTCACCATCGATGGAGATATGGTTATCATCATAAAAAGCAATAAGCTTCCCGAGACCCCAATGACCAGCAAGGGAACAAGCTTCATTTGCAATCCCTTCCATTTGACAACCATCGCCCAATATCACATAGCTAGACATAACAATACCAATTACAATCAATCAATAGGTAAAGGTTTTAAATATATATTTTTTAATATATATGAGAGTACATGGAAAAAAAAAAAGAAAAAAAAAAAAAGAGAAGAAGAAGATCTGAAGAAGTATTTTACGTGTAGTGGTCAACGATCTCACTGTCTGGTTTGTTGAAACGAGCAGCCAAATGCCTCTCTGCTAGGGCTAGACCAACAGCATTGGCAATACCCTGACCAAGAGGACCTGCATAAGATTTAAACCGAAAATGAAGGTGAGTTGCATGAAATCTACTGGGCTTTATTTAAGCAATAGAATGCAATTATTGGGTTCAGATTCTGACCGGTAGTGACTTCAACACCAGGGGTCTCAAAGTTCTCTGGGTGACCTGGAGTTTTGCTTCCCCACTGGCGGAAACCTTTCAAGTCTTCTTCCTAGATAGATCAGATGGACAAAATTTTTAGCCACAGAATCCTAACAGAAAAATAGGAAATTCCACTGCAGATAATGGAAACCAAGTAATTCATTATAACATGAAAGAAAACATATAGCTGTTTCCTCCAAGAATTTGCTTCATTCAAGCACTAAACTATGTGAGAAAATCCTAGGACTAGATTTCAAAGTAACTACCAACTATAACATATTGCATATGTTGCATCAAAGAACCAATTGGTGAAGAAAACAGATTAAGCAAACAAACTATGGGAATCTATGTTTTCACAAAAACAGAAACCCTCCAAGAATTTGCTTCATTCAAGCACTAAACTATGTGAGAAAATCCTAGGACTAGATTTCAAAGTAACTACCAACTATAACATATTGCATATGTTGCATCAAAGAACCAATTGGTGAAGAAAACAGATTAAAAGCTCTACCAAACGAAGCCTATGTTTTCACAAAAACAGAAACAAACAAGTAAACACAAACTCAAAGTAGAATAGTACTTATAGAAAGAAAACTACACACTAAACTAAATAGTCCATAAATTTGTTTTGTTTGGACATGATTTTTATTGGGACTATGCTTTTCCACATAAAAATTAGGATCAATTACACTTTATCCCTTCAATTATCACTCAATATCACCATACCTCCTCAATATCACCATACTTCCATTTTATGGGACTGAGGCTTTAGTTTGGTTTGGTTTGGTTTTGGCTAAAATATGAGTCGAAAAAATAAAAAAAAAAACTTTGGGATTGGCTTTTTGTTGACTTTTTATCTATATTAGCCTCTTTCCAAACGGACCATTAGACCCCTCAACTGTCAAAATTGCTTCATTTTCACCCTCTCAACTTTAAAACCGTACATTTAGACCCCTCAACTGTCAAAATTTGTTTCATTTTCACCCCTCAACCGTACAAAGACCCTGGGTAAAAATGAAGCAATTTTAAAGTTGGTTGAGTGATAGTTGAATGACCCCCCAAAAAAAAAATTAAAAACAACAAAAATCAAATAATTGAGCATGAAATGTGAAAACCCAAATCAAAATTCGATTCACCTACACAAAATTCGCACTAAAAACAGTCAGATTCAAAGATCCAAAGCAAAATTCAGATAATCAAATGCATGAATTAATGAATAGAAGAAACAGACCTGAACACTGTCGTATCCAGCAAGGTGAAGCAGAGCATACTGAAGCATACAACCATGTCCAGCGGAGAGAACGAAGCGATCACGATTGAACCAGCAAGGGTTTTTAGGGTTATACCTCATGATTTCATCGTAGAGTATATGACCCATCGGAGCACAACCCATGGGCAGACCCGGGTGACCCGAATTGGCCTTCTCGACGGCGTCAATGGCGAGGAATCGGATCGTGTTGACCGATTTGTCGACGAGTGCTGTCTCCGTCTTGTTGAGCGTCTCCACAGCGGCGGAGGCCCGGATTGCGCGGCGGCGGGAGGTGAGGCGGCGGCCGGAGGCGGTGGTGGTGGGGAGGGAGGAGGATTTGAGGCCGGAGAAGGTGGGGAGAGAGAAAGTGGGGAGAGAGAGACGGTGGTCGGAGGGAGGAGGTTGGTCGGAGGAGCCATGGGGATGAGTGGTGGAGCGAGAAAGAATGGCTTGGGAGAGAGTCAGAGATGAAGATGAGGCCATGGCTGGCTGGCTCACTAGTAGAGAGAGAAAGTGAGGTGTTCTAGAGAGAGAGTTATCGTTGAATCTACCGCCAGAGACTCTTTTTGTACCCAGTTGAGAGAGAGAGAGAGAGAGAACAGAAGTGTTGGTGCCTGGTGTTGGTGACCGTTAGATCGGAGGAAGGTGAGATCGGGGCCGTTGACTGAGGGTAGGAAATGAATGCTTTTGAATTTTCTTGTGAATATTAATTTGTTTTTCTTTTTCTCTCACTACATCTCTTTCATTGGTTTATCCGATTGGAAAAAATTGTGAATTCTCGTTTGAAAGCTGATTTTTAATAGTTTATTTTGAATATATGGCGTAATTTTTTTAATTTTTTTTTTGAAAAATTTAGGTTTAAAATTACTACAAAAAAAACTTCAGCTTTTGACAGTGATTTAAACACTAAAGCCTAGTTTGGGAAGACTAAATAAGTGCACTTTTTTACTTTTTATAAAATATGGGTTGGGTTTGTGTTGGGTTTGAAGTGATGTGTTAGAGAGGTGATGTGACTTAAATAAGGTGATGTGACTTAAATAGGATAGTGACTTTTTGACTTTTTGTCTTTTTTCAATCATGTCAAACTTGGCCTAATTTTCTAATTTATTTTTAATTCAAATTATTCAGATATTTTTTAAAAAAGAAAGGTTATAAAGCAGTTATATTGAAATAAAAATTAACAACATTATTTACATAACAATAAAAAGAAACCCAACAAAGCTCCAAAGAACCAAACAAGAAAACAAATTACAAAATTTCTCAAAAACCAGCTGCAATTCAGAAAATTTATATAATCTTTTCATAGATGTGGTTTAAAAAAATAAGTTATACATCTTTATAAAACTCAATCTCGTCATTATTGTCGTTCATATTGTTGTTACCTAACTCCATTACTATCGAATCTATCCTTTAAAAGTATTTTTACATCTTATTAGAAGATCGCTTTAAAACATGTCTTGATACGCTTTAAAAATTATTTTAGAGTAGTTAAGCAACCATGGGGCTTCTGATCTTGAAACTATTGTTTTCTCTCAAGCTTCAAAATCATTTTTTTTTTTGTTAAAACATAATATTTAAAAAATTACATTTAATCTGTTTAGTTTTAAATTTTTTAAAATAATTGAATTATTATTTTTTATGTTTATTTATTTTTAGTGAATTTTTTAATATTTAATTTTTTTTTGAATATTTGTTGATTTAATTGGGTGAATTACAAATGTTTTTTGTTTCAGTTTTCTGAAAATTGAATTATTTATTTTTCGTGTTGTTTTTTTGTTTTTTGTGAATATTTTTTAAATTTCAAGAAATTTTTTTACTTTTTTAGATACACCTTATTTAGATGTATCCAAATAGTGAAATATTTGTGAAAAATATTTTAAAAAATTAACAAATATACAAAAATACAAAAAATATATTGAATTTTCATATTTTTTGGTATATTAGTGTATTTTTTAAAAAAAAAATTTCACAAATATTATACTTTTTAAGTGTATTTATGTTAGGCGTGTCTAAAATTTTTTTAAAAAAATTACTTAAAATATTAAAAAATTTCATTGAAAACATTAAAATATGCAAAATGAAAAAGTAAAATTTTCTGAAAACTATTTTCTGAAAACCAGAACCAAACAAGCTGTAATTTCCAAAATGTGACCTTACAAACTGTTTAATCCTCATTTTTTTCTTATGAACCAAAATCTCCTATTAACGTGAAAATTATACAAAAAGGTTAGTCACTTACACGTTTGGTTTTAATTTTTGAGTTTCTCTAAATGTAAAATTACACATTTGAACAATCCACACTATAGAGATTTTGAATTTTTCCTTATTCTAGAATAAATCCCACATTACGAATAAAAATGTAACATTCCAATAACATAACACTCCAATATAACACACTAAAATTTTCTTAGTATACATTTCCCAAATGTAATAACGTAATACTCTAAAAAATTTTCTTAGTGTACTTTTTTCCAAACGTAACATTCAAATCAATATAATTCCAAATGTAATACTCCAGTGTAACATAAAAATACTAAAATATTCCTTAGTGTACTTTTTTCAAACGTAACAACGTAATACTCTAAAAAAATTTATTAGTGTACCTTTTTAAAAAACGTAACACTTCAATCAATGTAGTTCCAAACGTAACACTCTAATGTAACACACACAAAAATACTAAAAAATTTCCCAGTGTACTTTTCCCAAACGAAACACTCACAGTTTCAAATTATACATTTTTCCAAAGCTTACTAGAAATTTTTGTACTCCTTTTGAAATGTTTGAAGAATTTCACATCCTTTTGAAATGGTATGAAGAGTCACACATCCCTTTTTTGGAGTATTACATGTTAATCATATTATTTAATTTTGATGATGTCTAAAATATATTAGTTAATATACATATTATTTGACTTTTTCCATAAAAAGTCAAAAAGTTAACCCAAACATCCATATTTTCTTCCTCAATTTTTTAGTCCAAAAAGACAAAAAGTGCACTTATTTAGGACATCCCAAACAACCCCTAAGAAATTTTTGTACTCCTTTTGAAATGTTTGAAGAATTTCACATCCTTTTGAAATGGTATGAAGAGTCACACATCCCTTTTTTGGAGTATTACATTTGGAAAAAGTATATTAAAAGTTTGTTTGGGAAGTGGGTTGGCTTTTTGGCTATTTTAGCCTGGGACTAATCTTGTTTAAGATGGACTTTTGTTTTTTTTTGACTTTTGTGAGAGAAAAATGTAATGCTTATGAGTTAGACGTAATGTTTTATCTTATTGAACTAAAAAGCCTAATTTATTTTTTGTGGCTAAAATAGCCCCAAACCCAACCCAACCCAACCCATGTTGCCAAATGAAGGTTAAAGGGTTTTTTTGTGTATAATATTGGGGTATTACACTAAAGAGTTTTTTTTTAGTGTTATATTGAAGTGTACATTTGAAAAAAATATGCTAAAGAGTTTTTTTGGAGTGTTACATTATAGTGTTGCAGTTTGAAATTATACATTTGCTCAAAACTTATTAAGAAATTTCTCCTTTTGAAATGTTTGAATAATTTTACATCTTTTTAGAATGTTTGAAGAATCCCATATTTTAAGTTTGTATTCATTTTGAAATGTTTTCCAAATAAAAAATATTCTCATATGAAATTTCATCCCAAATCTGATTTTCATATATTGTTATCTTATCTTTCTAGCCAAAAAAAAAAAAAAAAAAAAAAAAAAAAAAAAAAAGAAGAAGAAGAAGAAGGAAACATAATAAAAATAAGGCCAAGTTTGGCTACAAAGAAAAAAATGCACTTATTTCATCTTTTTATCTTTTTTGGGTCACATCAATCAACATCTCCTCTCTACTTTTTCTACACATAATACAAAAAAAGTCAAAAAGTGCACTTATTTAGTCTTCCCAAACTAGGCCTAAAAGTATAACCTTAAATTCAAATTTCAAATATTATATTAAATCTACCTTTTCAAAATTAATGGGACTATTTTTTTTCCCCCCTTGAGATGATGGATTGTCGCTGCTCTATCAACTCAAACCCTTGATCTCTCACTTACTACACTCTAAGGTGTAGCTATTAGACCATTGAACCACACCCTAATGTCTATAGGATAATGAGACTAATTGATCTATAAGAAAATTTTTAAAACTAAACGAATAACTATTTCTCAAAATGAGATTCATACATAAATTTTTCAATTTAATTTTGAAAAACTCAAGACCAAGAGAGTGATTGATTCTAATAAATATTGATGACATCAAATGTGGGATCACTTTAATGCACATATAGTACCGAAAAAAAATTAAATTAACATTTTTAAAATATTACCAACTAGTACAAAGTATATTCCTTGAGAATCAAAAGGGTAACCAGCTCTCCGAGAATCGAAGGGGTAACTAGCCATATTACTAGCTCTCCGAGAATGAATAGGGTAACTAGCCATATTTTATTTATTTATTTATTAATATTTTGAATGAGTTGAATTGAAATATCAGGATAAACAATATAAAAAAAGGTAAAATTATCTATCCTTACAAAAATTTCTTGCAAAATCACCTATTTATAAATTTTTACCAATAAAAGTGTAACATTACAGAATAAGTGAATAAATTTTTATAGATAAAAGTTTATGAATAAATCCTCCCATGAAAGATTTTTATAAAAATGTAGCACAACGTATAAAAAGACTTTCCAAGAGAATGGAGGTGAGGAGTGGTTGTTGTGGGGTACAATGAAAAGGAGAGTTTGTTGCACGGGCATGGTCCAACGTCCAAGTTCAAGGAAGAAAGAGAGAGAGAGAGAGAGAGAGAGAGAGAGAGAGAAACATTCGAGTTTGAAGATCAGCTCCAAGGAATTTGAGGAAGATGAGGCCATTGCCATTCAAACCTTAACCTTCCACCCAATGGTTTTATATAACTTTGTTTTGTTTTTATATCACAAACTAAAATTATAAATTGGGTGTTTTGAAAAGATGGTCAATAGTTATTTTTTGGCTTTTTTTGACATTTTTGTGAGAGAAAAAAGTGGGTTAAAAGCTGGGAAGTAACTTTTAATCCACTTTCTAAAAAAGGCCAAATGTCGAAGATCATTTTGCAGAGTCTAAAATTAGTAGAACATCTGCATGACTCTTTCAAGAACAGAGCAAAATCGGCACGTGATTGCATAATATATTCAAGGGTAAATTACACTATACCTTCTAAAGTTTCTATTTAATATAGATCTCTTATTTACATTTGATAAATTATATTTATCCCATATTAAATTAAAGTGATATATTTATCCCTTAACCTTTATACATATAAAATAATAAAATAATACAGAGAGTTTGTTCATGTTATTGTAATAGAAATAACAATTATTTTCTTTAATTTAATTCACACAAAAAATTGAGTCTTTTTGTTTTTCATATATTTTTTTTTATTTTTACTGATTTTTTAATATTTTAAGTAATTTTTTATTTTTTTATTTTTTAGATACACCTAATCTAGATATACTTAAGAAGTATGTATTTTTTTTAAAATTCACCAAATACAAAAAATAAAAATTCAG